ATTTTAATTTTTTTTATTTTTAATAATTAAATTTTATTTATATTTATTAAAAATAATTATTTTTATCTAAAAAGTCATACTAAATCTTAATCATTGAATGTAAAAAAATAAATTATCAAGATTGTATATAAATAAGATTACAAAATTTGTATGTAAATATATTCTTTTTTATTGTTTTTTATGATTTTGTTTAATTTAAAAGAATAAATTTTTAAATTTATAAAAAAAATAGTGCATATCAGTCATTATTTGATAGTCTTAATTTAAAAACATTATCTTTTAATAAATATTTTGAAAAAAAACAATTGTTAAATTTAATATTCTATTCATATATATAGATCTTTTTTTTAGGGACCAACTATTCATATTTTAGATCATGCATGACAATTTTGATTTTAATTAAATAATTTAACTAGTCATTAATTATATAAAATTTAATATTATTAAATATATATGTTAAAAATATAATTTATTAATCAAATAATTATACATATTAAATCAATTTAAAAGTTGACATAAATGATTTCATAAACACAACATTTGATCAAATGGGTGGTCTTTCAAAAAATTCATTAAAAAAGAATGTTTTTAAATTAAAATCATATAAAATTAAAATTAATATGTATTATTTTCAAATCATAATTTTATTTATATATACAAGAGATGTTACTAACAGCCAAATTTGTTTTGAGATGAGTTGAAAAAGCTCACAAGTAGCTTGATTCATTTATAACTTAATTTAGTCATAATAATTTGATGTGTCAAAGGTTAATAACTTGAAATATGTACAAGGTTACATAGAAAGAATCGTTAGTTAGTAAGGAGGGAGATTACATAAGCGATGCGCATAAAGGACCAGCGAGGATGTTTGAGGAGGGGGTGTTGGGGGAAGGAAAGATTTGTCCTCATCTCCAAGAGCTGCCACCACCCACCATGCAAGAGGAATCGATGAGGGTTATGGTGGTAGCTAGGAAACTGTAGGAAATCCCAATGGAAGATACTGACATAATTCACAATTCGTAAATACTTTTTTTCAATTTTTTTAAAGAAAATTTTTTTTTCTAGAAAACACACTCTAATAATATTTTATATTAATTTCCTCTATATTAATTTTTTACTTAACAAATTTAATACTTAATAAAATTTTATTACAAAATTTATTAATTTCTATATAATACTTTTTAATTTTTTATATAATATTTTAATCAATTAATTTCTAAAAAAAAAACTTTTCTAAAAAATCTGGCTTTTAACCAAACACATCCTTAGAGAAAGAAAACTAAGTATAGACGTGCAAATGATTGATGAGGAGAGCCAGAGTAAAGAGTTGGAGGAGCAAGAAGAATTCTTCTTCGAGAAGAGACAGAAAAATGCAGATGAGAGCAGCGAAGTACTGATCAACAAGCAAACAGCTCACCCCTCAAGGGACGGTGGAGGTTTCCCTACGTAGTTTGTTAGTACAAAGCTGGGGAAAGGGACTTGATGTGCCCGTTTTGGCTTTTTTTTATTTGTGTGAATTCCCGTTTAAGCTTTTGATTTAACAATTTTCCTTGATTAAGGATGCGTTTTATATTGTTCTAAAATTATTTATTAAAATGTAATTTTTTTATAATTTAATTATAT